AAAGTCAACGTTATTGCAGTCTCAGGTGTGTCAGAGTGAGATCAAAATAACCCACAACATACCACCCAGGGCAGCAGCTTAGGGCTGGTTTGTGCCCTGTTTCTCTGGTCCAGTCTGTAGTGTCCCATTGCTCATTCGGTGGGCTTGTGTAAAAAATGGCATACCAGCCTGGCCCTCAAATTTCTCACCATCTGCTGGGCTGGCAGCACTGGCTCAGGTGAGCACCTTCCTCGTTTGGATAGGAGGAATGTAGGCAAAGCTTGTGATCACAGCTTGAGGTGGTCCAGGCCACACTCCCTCCATTCAGGGGCTGGGCAGGGTGGGCAGTTCAGGAGGGCTTAAAGGAGACGATGGTGAGAATGGAGGTCTAGCTCTCAGCTGGGTTTCAAGAAGCTCCCTGATCCCTGCTGGGTAGATGGTTCCCAGGAAGAAGTCTCCCAGAGAAGCCCGGCTTCCAGACCACAGCTTTGTGGGCTGATTACCATATGAAAGCAGACGAGGGAGCAGTAACTTGGACACCCAGGGAGCAGGGGTGGCGGAGGATCTGGGAAAGCAGGGAGCTGGCTGGCAAAGATCCCACCCTGCTGCAGGCAGTGCCTGGCCCACACTCCTCTAATCTGGGGCACTCACCACTCCCTCCCAGGTGCCTTCCTGTCGCCACTTGCCACTCTGAGGCCTCAGGGGCATCCTTGCAGTGGCAGGAGAGTTGGGACTGAGAAGTAGATTCCAGGTCCTAGGGTTGTACCTGGGAATAGGCTCAGTTAGTTCAGACGCATCTCTCTGCCTTTCTCATCTGCACACTTTCTTCCCTGGGTATTTAGTCTTTGGACTTCCCCTCTGCGGGCTTAGGTTTCTGCCTGGCTATATGAGGCAGTCACACTGGCTTTCTAGTCAGTCTTCACTGCAGGTCCATTAGAGAATACAACAGGCTACACTTGCCACGGGCAGCCCTTTGGGATGGGGACCTTCCGGACATCGATGGCCACTTTCGCCCATCAGGTTTGTGCTGTGGTAGAGGTCTTCTGAATGATGGCTTCCTTGAGGGGTCAGCACACAGAATGGCCACCCAGGATTCTTAGGGCCCTGTGCTTTATGACTGTTTTCTGTCTCATGTTGTGCCCCCCCACCCCCAGTCTTGATTCCCAGATAAGTCTGTTTCAAGCACAGGACCAGCTACAGTGGAGGTGAGGGTCTCCATGGGAACCGCTGTTCTGCAGGCTAAGCATGTCCTGACCCACTGAGGTGGGACTGATAGCCAAACTTGCTGCCCAGTGGGGGAAGGGGCTGAACTACAATGGCAACCAAGGGCAGAAAGGGGTCATATTCCAGTGACTTGAGGGGGCGGGGCAGCTATTGCTGAGGTTACAAATGATTTTGCTAAAAAATGTGAGTGGGAGCTGTTCATGGCAGTTTTTTTGTTTTGTTTTTGTTGGTAAAAAGGTGGGCAGAGCTGGGATCCCAAGTAGCTTTGCCCATGGCCTTTGTATAACAAGTGGTACAGTTTTCTAATGTCCAGAGGAACTGAAGGGCCTCTTTGCTGATCTGGTAGCAGTCGGAAGCCAGGGCTGGGGAGAGTGAGTGAGTGCATCAGCCATAGTTCTACCTGGCAACCCTGGGGACAGGACTTGCTCGTTAGCTTTGCAGTAGCTTCTTGGGTTGAGAGGAGTGATCTGGCAGAAGTTAACAGAGATAGAGCATGTAAACTTTACTGTGTAATTTCATTTAAGTGTGGTTTGGACTTCCTCCTTGCACTGGGTGGGGAGGTGAATACTCCTTCACCACAAATATGTCACGGCAGAGATGAAGATTTCAAAGGAAATTTATTATTTTTGAAAGGTCTGAGGGGACTTTACAAGAGTCTGAAGCCAGTAACTACAAAGGATGATAAATAAAATACAAAGCCAATACGTTGTGGCAAATTTCCAGAAAACACATTGAAAATCTTTACAGTTCAAAACTGTTGCACTTTTATACATAATTACAAATTACTATACAGCGCTTGGGTTTAACCCAACTTTTTATTTAATAGGGCTTAGTATAGAAATGTTCATACAGCACTTGGAGACGACTTAACAAGAACAGAGGTATAGGTGTACCCTGCCCACCTTCTGTAGAGCCCAGGCCTCAGGAGGAACCCTGAGACACATCCCAGCAGGAGGCAAACAAGGCAGGGCAGCTGATGCTAGAGGGTCTAAGGCAGAGGCTCGGTGCTTCCTGCGGAGGCCCTCTGGGGTCTGTGGCAGTGGCGCCTGCCTGGTTTCGAAGCAGGGCACACTTGTGGGGGGCACCCACCTTACACCTTAGTGAGATGGAGAAGTAACTTAGGACCTGTCTTGTCAATCTTTTGACAAATTAAATTACAGGAGTGCAAGAAAAGGCCTTTGCTGCCACCCCTCCCCCCTTTTATGGCAGCATTAGAATATTTTGCATTTCTAAACCTGGCCAGCAGGCAACAGACTCCAAAGCTCTGGTTAACTAGGAATGTTCCGGCCACACTAGAGAAAACAATAAGCCAAACACACTGTGCCCCTGGTGTCTGTAGGGATGGATGGCCTGGGTCATTGCTTCCCCCAAAGGCACCCATGCTCAGCTGTCCAGGCATGGAAGCCCACTCTCAGGGACTGTCTTCTGGGCACACACAGGTCAGAGTCAACTCAAGCCCCATGAAATACCAAAAGGCTTGGCAAGAGAGCCCCTGGGACAGAAGGAAACATCAAAGACTTGTATGGAGAGCAACTCTGGGCAAGCTCTGTCCTATTGACCAAGGTTCTGTCCTTTCTAAGCCTGTGTACACTAACATCACCCCAAAGAGATCAACACGTGTGCTTACTGCTAATACGAAGTTACGAAGAAAACCAATGTGGGGGACTAGCAAGGGCAGTGTTAGTGGTGTAACCCTCACAAGATTCAGATCGTACCTTTCGAAAAATCAATCCTGTTGAGGGCTTCCCTGTAGGAGACTCTCATGGGGTTGGGGGCATGCTGGCATGCTTTTATCTCAAGCCTCTCCATCTTCTAAGAAAACAGTCAACAGGTTTGATTGTCTCAAAAATGAAGACAGCTGAGGAGAGGTCATTTAAAGTGCACATGTCACCCAGATGGGACGACAACTACTGAGATGATTTTAATTTTTGGAGAGAAGATACAACCTTCTAGAAAGTTCACTAGATTCCACAATGCTGGGGCCAATTTACACCTGTCCCCCAAAGCAGTGATTTCTTTAGCTTTGATGTAGAAACATGGGCAAAAGGACAGGACACAATCCTGGTCCCTAGAAAAGTACACTTCTCTTTGAGAATCCCACACAAGGCTGTGGGCTCAGCTATGGCAATCTTCAGGGTCCTCAGCAAGAGCACAAGCGGCAATTCCCAAAGTGCGACAGACTTCTGAGGGGGCCAGATGGTGTGGGCAGGTGAAACAGTTCTTGGCAAATGGCTCTCTTCCTGAAGGAAGCTGGACAGTTTAGGGGAACTCAGAATGGCTTTCTTTTGACATAAACTTCTCCCAACTGTTGCTGACCATTTTTTTTTTTGGGGGGGGAGTGTGGGTAGAAGTAAAATTGGTTTTTAAAAACCAAAGCAAGCAAATCACAACACAGCCAGTTGGCAGTAAAGGACACTTGAGGGCAGGAATAGCTTCACAGGGGTGTACGGTGGCTCACTGGGTAGTCAGAGTGACCCTGGAGAACAGTTACTGGCCTCCCTCTAGACAGTGGTCAGGCCCTTTCCCTCCTAGCAGATTGGCTCCTCTCTAGAAGGGTACACCTCCCTGAGGGGCATTCAGAGGCAGGGACAAACACTACCAGCCACACCCTGTGGGGGATCTGAGGCATGGCAGGCTCTGCTGTGACAGCCATCTGGACTTGGAGAAGGAAGCAGCTAACTTCTTGTTGCTAAGGTTCTTGAAGGAAGTAGGGGAAAAAAATATCAGACTTTAAAGAGCCAAATCGGCTTCATCAAAAAGAGGCAAAGTTTTAACATCTCCAAAGAAGGAAGAACACATTCCTTATGAAAAAAATGAGCAGGGGAGGGAAGGGCACAGTTCCCATCTCGACCCTTGGGACCGTCATGCACTTGGGACACACACTTTATTCTCTGTACTGAAAAGGTGGTTCAAACTGTTGGGCCAGTACTGGTTTGCTTTCAAAATAAAATAAAAACAAAACACAAACACAAAATAAATAAAACAAAATTTAGGCTAAAAAATTTAAATCAGAATTCTTTCAAGTAAACTGAAAGATAAATATCTGTATCTGCAAGTCCAGCTTGCAGCTCACCATCAAGCACCAAGACACAGGTTTGTTTTTGCACAACTGTGCTCGAAGGCCCATGCTTCTGAGGGCAAAACCAGGAACTGAAGGCCACGTGTGAAGCACAGACCTCAGCACGGCCCTCGCGGGGAGTAGCCTGAGGGACAGGTGCGTGAGCCCTGGAGGGCACATTACCAATGAACTGTCCTGCACACACAAGCTCGTGGGAGCCTCAAGCACGCTTAGATCAACACGTGGAGATGGAGGGTGAGAAGAGAGATAGGCGGCACTTGACAGCTTTAAGGGTAAGAGCACAACCAAGCAAACTGCATCTGAAAACCGTATGTGAGGAGGAGGCCGTGTGACAGGAAGTGACTGGAGAAGCCGGCCAGACACACTCCAGGGCCAGCTCCCCTGTCTGTATTGGTGAAACCACCAACCAGACTTTACTGCTGCACCTGAACCAGTAACCCTAGAGCAGGGCATGGAGAGGCCTCGGGACAGTCTAGACCACACAGGTGGCTTGAGAGCACCCACAGGGAGTCCAGTAACAACTAGAAGGTGTCATACTGGGGACAGTGGAGAAGAGTTCTGTCTATTTCCTCTGTGCCCAGAGCATTTAGATGGGCACCCGGGACAACAGTATGTTTCTTCCTGATCTGAATGTGAAGTGAGACAGACAGTTCAGCCTAGTGTATGGAGATCAAGTGGTGCAGACTACGTGCTTTCCCCTACACATCAGGCCTCTCGCTGACTTCACACACTGTTGTTCTTCCTACAATAAAATGAGGAAGACATATGAAGGGGGTGGTGTGTGTACAGGGGCCGTCTCAAGGGACCCACTCTCAGGACCACAGGGTGAAACACTGTATACCTGCACACCACCAGCCAGGCATGGGCTTGCCCTTGGCCCAAGCTATCCTGATTGGAAGGAAGGCTGTGTACACAGACGAAGGCTACACTATCTGCTCTTTGATTCTGGTTGCATTTGGAAAACCTCTTTGAGCCTTGATGGAATCCTGACGTGTCTTAAGCTATCACCTACTTCTGGGGTCACTACTTTCGGTGTAATACCCTGAGTAAGGCCAGGCCCACCCAAATCCTAGGCAGTCACAGATCACGGCTCAGGTGTCCTTTCCCACCCCGACATGCAGGTGTCGCGCTTTCTTGTCCAGCACCTGGGGTAGCTCAGGACGACTGGACGCTGAGGGGTAGCGGGCGTCCAGTGTAGGAGACTTGTGCACGAGGGGCCGCCGGAGTGCCGCAGCAGTACTGCCATCAGGTCAGGGTAGGACGGTGGCTGCCTGGCAGAGGAGACGGTCAACAGAAGATCTCTTCACCCTCTGTTGTTACTTCCGAAGCAGGACCATCTGCAACCGTGAAACCAAGAGTGAACCCATGAGCCTTTTGATGTCACCTCCTGTCCTGTCAAGTTGCTGTGTGTGACAGGTGACTGGGGTTCTGGGCGCATACTGATTAGAAAGTTATGAACTTTCACCCAGCACTGCTGTTCATGTTTGTAAACGGGCCTAGAAATGTATTATCTCATGCAGAAGCAACAGTTTAGTCTTAATGTGAAGGCAGACATAGCAAAGGATTCAGGAAAATGTGGGATACAACAGGCAGGCTCTGTGAGCACTGCTTGTGAACCTCTCAGCTCCAGTTCCTACCTTCTCCCAGGGAAATGAGTATATATGACCTGCCTTACACACCCAACCTTACTACTGTACTGGGCACTAGCACAAACCTAGCAAGATAGTGAGGGCTTGGATGACTTCATTTAGGTGAGTTCCTCAACTGGGAGGACACTTGAGAAACTAAACCTGTACTCCACATACACAGGAGGCCCAGAAAAAGGTCTTGGATGCTCATTGCACAAGCATTCTTTCTGAAACAGATTATGCGTGTTGCATGTACAACAGATTCAGGCATGCATTCAGCCCATAGTGGCCAGAAGAGGGCGCCAGATCCCCTGAAATTGGAGTTAGATGTAGTGTGAGCTGCTGTGTGGGTGTGGGGAACTGAGCCTGAGCTCTCTGCAAGGGCTGTGACTCCAGCCTCAAAGCTACTGCTCCAGTCCCTGCACAGGCTTTCTTTTCATGTGTCTCTATGTGCACGGATGCCAGAGGCTTACTGTTACTTTGTTAGTTTGGAGACCGGTATCTCACTGAACCTGGAGCTCACTACTCTTGACTACTCGAGCTTGTGGGTATGTTCCAGAGATTCTCTTGCCTCTGCCTCCCATCTCTGGAGGATAGAATTCAGCTCCTCATGTTTGAAAGGCAAGCATTTTATCAACTGGGTCATATCTATAGCCCCCCCAACAAGTGTTCTTAGCAGGTGGGACTGGTGGGCAAGGGCGGGCTTGGCTTTTGTACATCTGAAATGTTCCCCAACCCCCATCACTATCCTCTCTTGTAGGCTGCGGATGCCATGGCCACAGGGAGCAGTGTAGTGTGGGTAACTCACCACCAGGCTGAGAGCGGCTTCCTTTGCCCTTCCTTTTCTTCTCCTTCTTTTCCTTTGGCTTAGCTAACCCAAAAAGGCGGGTGGAAGTGGAGGTGCTGGGCGGGGCCTGGCTCTGCCCCTCTGGAACTTTCGTCTGGCCCGTTGAACTCAGTATATGAAAAGGCCCCTTATCTTTGTGTGTCCGAGAGATGCTGTTCCTTTTAGGAGATACTGAAAGTTCTGAGTCCAATGACCCCGATTTGGTTATGGAAGGTGCAGAAGGCAAGGAGAACTCATCCGGATTGGGCAGGAAGGACGGGACTCGCATCAGCCTGCCGTGTTTATTCGAGACCTGCATGTGTTCAAAGAAGGCATTTAAAACTGGAAGCCATCTGCACCTTGGTGGCCACACTCTAAAGAACTGTAAACAGGACTTCATGTTACTGCTCCTTCCCAAGTACTATCTATGAGCATGTTAAAACCATCACGTCCAAGTCTCATCTTTGATGAGGCAACTTAGAAAAGAACTCCCATGCCCTGAAGAAACAGGCTTGCTGCTCATCTAAAGACTGACTTACACTTGAGCGCAGACATCACTTCGGGGCAGTGTTTATGAACCTGGCCAGGCTAGAGTGTTAACAGAAGAGCATCATCCCATCTGTGTTTTCTGTAGCCTGGGAACCGACCCTCCCTTGTCAAAATTCTGCTGGTTTTATTGAGATGTGAGTAGATCTACCCTTCTGCTAGAGAAAGCAACAGAAAGAACCACTGGCTGCTCCCTGCTGTGTATTTGAGAAGCTCTTCTGAAAAAGCAGTACTGCCGGACTCTGGAGACATCGCTTCAGTTTCCTTTCATGGTCCAAGGTCATTTAAATGTCAATATGACAACAGTTTTAAAAGACAGGGAGATGTATACACTGCCAAACTATCTCTCTGTCTCCAGTGTCCATGTTCTAAGGCAATTACAGATGATCTCACCACAGTAACATCACACTCAGCATGTTGAATGACAGAAAGCCTTCCTACACCAGCTACTGAGAAACAAGAGCAGGGAAGACGATCAAGCCAAACGAGGCATTATGCTGAGTGGGGCTGTCTGAACATCCCTGCCCAGACATCACCTGCGCACAGGAGATGACTACCTTCTATCACTTGCTGGGCTTCCCCCTCTGTCTCTGACCCCCTGATCCTCTCAACAGGTTCTTTATCTTGTAGCAGAGCTAACTGCTACTGTCTCATGACCACAGGCAGGCCCGTAGGTCCTATGGGCTCCTTTACCTTTGGTAAGCTTGCTATTTGTGGGGACACACGCCTGGTTTACCATGTGCTACGGGGCAAGGGCTAACAGCTACTCTTGCAGACATGCTGAAGCTACTCTGGTCCAGGCTGGTGGTTGAGGAAAGTGCTTGCTAGTTTGAAGGACCCACTGACTTCTCTGTGCTACAGTCTCAGTATCTCTGCCCCCCTCTTCAGTCTCATTGAGTGAGGCCCACTTCCTCCCCTTGTTCAGGGTAAAGCAAAGCTGCCGTACAACACGAATGTCTCCTCTGTTCACTTCCACGTGGCTCCTACCATCACTCTCAGTCACTGCCTGGTCGTCACAGTCCGATGCCCCTTCCTTCCTATCTACAGGCCTGGCACAGGCTCTTAGGTACCTGGCAGAAGTCCTGGTCCATCTGCCTCTGGCTGAGCCGCTCTGTGTCCCGCTTCAGTTGCTCCTGTTCTCTTTCCAGCTGCTTCTGGGCAGCCCGTAGTCTCTCCAAATCACACTGGTAAGTGCCCTTCTTCTGCTGGAGCTCTTCACGGTCCCTCTCCAAGTCCTGCTGTCTACGGCGGACTGCCTCCTCCCTCTCGGCCAGCTTGGCCTCTCGCTCTCTTAGCTCCTGGTCCCGGGCCTCCCACTCTCGCTCACGCCTGCGCTTTTCCTCCAGGTGCTGTGCCTGCTGCTTCTGAAGGTTGGCCAGGTCCTGGCGCTGCTTCTCCAGGCTCCGCTGCTTCTCCTGCTCAATCAGAGAGCTGGGGCGGGACGCACTCCTTGTGAGTACCTTCTCGGTCAGCACCAGCTTCTGGTCCTCAATGTAGCTATCTTGTTGTAGCACGACACCCTGTCATGGCATAGAGAACAATTGTACAACTCAGGCCCAGGAGAAAAGCCACAGGCAGGGATCCTTCCCTGACCCCACACTAGGGTACTGGGACAGAATGAAGTCCCTCTCATGTTTTAAGTTTGGTCTTATAACAACATGCTTCATGGCAACTTTGGGCAGTTTGCAAACAGTGTCAAAGATGTGGGAACTCAACTTTGTCAAGCCTGGTTATCTATTTTCTCTTTAAGATAAAAAAAATAATTCCAATTTATTCAGTGTGTCCATGCATGCATGCACCAAAGAGAGCATGTGAAGGTCAGAGGACAACCTGTGGGAGTCAGTTCCGTCCTACTATGTAGGTCTTGAGGATTGAACTCAGGTTTGCTTGTTGAGCCATCTCACAGGCCATGGTCATACATTTTCTGGAATTCTTGGTGGTACTTTGGGGTGGGATGAGTGTGTGTGCTATGCAGGAGGGAGAAGGTAGGAAGGAGACAGGTAAACTCTTCAAGAAAGAAAGGGATGAAAAAGAGGGTGGTCCCTGGGAAGTACCAAAGAATATGAGAGTGATACCCTTACAAATACCAGAGACATAAGGAAAAGTTTCCTGAGGGTAGACAGCCTCTGGAGAAGGTCCCATACTATCAAGCAGGTCCTAGAGTTAACCAGCTCTTCAAGCTGCTCTTGGAAGGACCACATGCTGTAATGTCTTCTTCATTTTCTTAACCAGAAGCTATTCTTAACCAGAAGCTAATCTTTGGCTTATTTACCAACAAGTAACTTATACATCCCAAAGATTGAGGTCAACAAAATCTTTGTGCTATGTTTTCTAAGCAAGTTAAGAACACATGTAAAGGTGATGTGTGTACCTGCAGCATGCTAAGGAGTTCGTGGAGGTGAACGATGCTCTGGACAACCTGCTGGCAAAGGGATAAACATTCATTTCAGTTTTGCTGACTCTCAGGAACATCACATGGATACAGTATCTTCAGAGCACAACAAGACATTGCATTTTAATGAAATCTTTTAAAATGGAAAGAACCCAAGAGAGTAACTGAGTGCAAGCAGCCAAGAGTAAAGATATATGGCTGTGCATGCATGTGCAAACATCTATTAAAAGGTATACACAGAGCTTCCACTTTAAAACTGGTTAACATAAAGTTAGTGTACACCTCAAAGTTAAAAAAAAAAAAAAGGATGCCCTGAAAATTTACATTAAGTTCATGAATAATCAAGGGCAAAGGAAAAATATTTAATTAACTTTTCTAAGAGAAATGTCTTCATTTCTTGAAAACTTGAAGTTAGAAACCTTGGTTCACATACACACTGGAGAAAAATACAATACAACCCATATAAATTACAAGTATAAGGGCTATAGAGATGGCTCAGTGGGTAGGAGTACTGGGTTTGATTCTGAACACCCACATGGCAGCTCACAACTGTGTAACTCCAGTCTCTGGGGATACACTGACCTCTTCTGGCCTCTGCAGGCACTGCAAGTACTCACAGACAAGGGGATAAAGTATCCACACACATAAAATAAAAAAGAAGAAAAAAGATCATAAAAGAATTAGAAGAAAATACAAGAGGAAATAAGGGAATATTCTACTTCAGAAGTACAAATTAGCTAACAATATAAAACATTTAAAAGCATCTAGGGACTAGAGGTACAGCTTAATAATTGAGCTCCACAGAGCACATCTATACACATGCACAAATCAAGAAATGCTGTTTGAAATATCAAGGCAACAACATCAACTTAAAGATGGTACTGTTCGATGCTGGTGAAAGTGAAATGAGGATGGACATACCCAGCTGGACACTAGCTCCTTCCATAGTAATATGGTGAGGAAAATCAAAGAGCCATGCAGTAAGTGTAACATGAAAAAAAGTAGAAGAGGGATTAGCCACCAGAAAGATCCAACTCTAGGACTTGACAGAAGCGGTGAACATGCACATGTTCAGCAGCAGGCATTGTGCTCCTGTGTCTTGAGAAGATGCCTCTGATGCACTGAGAGACCTCTGGAAGGTCACACACATGACCATGCAATGGATGAGAAAAGGGCAGACACAGACACTTAACAGTTACTACTCTACAGTGATGGGTCATGCTTAAATTCAGATGATTTATATTGCTAGTCTTTACATTTCTCTTTTTATAATACTTGAACCAAGCTTAGTCCTTTCTTAGTGCTCACACCGAGTCTTAACCGAAGGCGCAGACGCCTGCCAACTGCAGCTGTGTAGTCCCAGGGTGAAAGCCAGGCACATTATTTCCCATCAGACTTTCTCACTGAATGCAGGGGACTTTGCCAAATGGCAATAATCAGCTGACAGCTCATTTCAAGAGACAGATACAGAGATCATCAGCCTACAGGACGCAGGCCCTGGCTGCATCAGGGAGAGTCCCTTAGCAAACTCCTTTGCCAACAAACATAAAACAACATCCTCTGGATTTTTTTGAGGGGGAATGCAGAGGAGGAAGTAGTTTTAAATTTCAAAACAAAACTCCCAGGGGTTTAAGATAATGAATACAACAAGGAAGAATGAAATCCAAGAAATAGCCCTGAGAAACACCTAAAAAGGCATGGATTCAAGTGTATAGGACACACAAAAGCAAGACTCAGCAAGAGCACTTGTCTAGGAGACAGCAGTGACCCTGAAACTGATTCCAACAGGCCTCAGGGGTGGGGCCCAGTGACAGCAGCACTCCAGGGAGGGAAGGGAGTAACAGACAGACAGCCTATCCCCAGGGTCTGGTTTCCCATTGGAAGGCTATCAGGCTCCCTAGCAGGAAAAGAGATGGGTTCAAAGAGGCAAACTCAGTATGCTTAAGAGGTTATTAGGGAGAATTTGTCACAGTTTAACTCCCATACTCTAGACTTGTGGCCACTGGGATCCTTTACATTCCAGGAAAAGCTGCTGCAAATTCTGTGGGCCCAGAATGAAGGCATCAATAGGTGCTCCCTGGCAAAGCTATATAGCTGTGGTGGCGCACACCTTTAGTCCCAGCACTCGGGAAGCAGAGGCAGATGGATCTCTGTGAGTTTGTAGCCAGCCTGGCCTACACGCAGAAAAACAAATGAGACAGTGGAGGGGGTGGTGGTGGAGGGGTGAGAGTGAGGAGATTAAGCCAAGGAAATGCACAGCTATATTCTTTAGTTATAGAACATTGAAGCCACAAGATACTTGTCATAGCAAAGCAAGAACATTTGTAACCCAATAAATATCCTATATAGTTCATAGAATCCTTACCTCACTGTTTCTTTTAAGCATAAATACCAGGTTAGCATTTCCACCCTATAAAATAACAACAAAATCACATTAAAAAAACCAAAAATCTTGAAATGCTATCTTGGTGGAATTTTCCTTTGAAACATATGTAAGGTACTTCCCTATCACCTTTGAAGTCTATTTTGTTAAATATTAAAATGGATATGCCACCTTGTTTCTTAAAAAAAAAAAAATCTTGATGTAGAAACTATATTCAATAAGTTACCCTGTACTTCTGGCTTTCCTTTCTTTTTACCATAGCATCTCCCTGGAAGGTGTGAGGAGAAGAAGTTGAAATAAATTTTACTAAAATAAACCCCGCGGAGCAGGATCAGGAGCACCAAGGAGACTGTTAAATGACACTGGAGAGCACAGCAGAACTGGATTTGTAATGAGGACTCTCAGCCCAGACACCAACAATACGGGCCGCTTGACTGTGTGCTTTGCTCTCAGGATGAGCTTCCCCAAGAAATGAAATTTCATGACTAGTGGCAAACTGATTGCTGAGCCAGATCACAGAAAGATACTTCAAAAGGGTAATGAAGTCCAAGTAGGTGCCAAGTGGTGTACAGATATGAGTGTTTTTCTAGAAAATCCTACCTTTTTCAGACCACTATCCGATTCTGTTCTCCTAAGATCTTGGCCGTCATCACCCTCTTCTTTCTCACCTCCTAAATAAAACACAGACAGATGAAAACAATATAGGTAGTTTAGGGGTATTAATAGTTCTGAATCCTATTAATGTCCAAAATAAAAATAGGCCAGGAAGCCACTCAGTGGCACTTGGCCACTTGACACAGCTTCCCTAATGGAGAAGCAAGAAAATGAAACCCAAACAGAACAAAACAAAACCCAAACACAGCTTAGCATCCCCTTGTTTGATGCTTGGGACCAGAAGAGTTTGAGCTTCAGATTTTCAGATACATGTAGTAATAAGATGCTTGGAAGATGGGATTCTTGTACAGACACAGAATCACTGAATATCTCCCAGGCACTTTTGCCCACACCTGGAGGTGATGGTATACAATGTTTTGGGCATGCATGCTTGTGTTCTCAGTGCAACTTTTCAAGTGTGGAGTTTGCAGTGTGACATGTCAGGAAGTTTTGAACTATGCAGCAGTTTGGATATCAGCTTTTCACATTAGAGATGCTCAAAGGCCTCTGGCTATATTAGCTCAGCTAAATAACAGAAAAAAAAGCTTATTTTTCCCAATGAACACAATTCTCACGGGAATTCTTGAGTGCTTGAAACTCTCATGAAGACATTTATTGATGAAGGGACAGAGGAGGCAGAGCTACCAGAATCCAGGTCACTGTGAGATGCAAAGGAATAATGGATGGATCACCTTTGGAAGCATTCATCTGATGACAGTCAAATCCTCCAAAGGTCTCTGCTCTCCGGGGCAAGGAAATGGGACCAGCCATGACTTCCTGCTCAACAGGGCTGCTGATGGGCTGTCCAAGTGTGCCACCAAGGGTTCCACTCACCAAACCCTGGAGGATTTCCACTGGGAAAAAAAAGCAAACAAAACACTCAGGTGATTATCTTTCATTAAGAGGAAAAAAATGTCATGGCCCAAAGAATAGGCAAAATTTCATGTTTAGAGGGTCTTCTTGGGTCACCACAAATTTTACCCTTCCTTCCATAGGCCTGAAAAATCTGTAAGGGAACAGAAGGCAGAGTAATCAACTGGGAGGAGTATGGTTTCTAGAAAGGCAACAGAAAGGTCCAGTTTGAGAATGGGAATTAAATCTATTAGGAGCAGGTGGGTGCCAGGGGCCAGAGCAGCCTAAGCATCTAGATCTTCCAATCTAACATTAACTGTTAACTGGAGGTCTTCCCTAGGGCAGGGCCTGTGGGAAAGACACTGAAGGGAGAGGAAGGAATGGGAGAGGAACTGGGGCGAGTGAGAAAGAAGGTCCAAATAGAATCAGAGGCAGAAACAAAATCTCTTAACAACCACCAAGTTTTTAATAAGGCAAAACAAACAAAACAAAACCAACCAAACAAAAAAAACCCCAGAAAAATATAATTAAACATTTTTTCCTTTTTTTTTTAAGAAAGGGTCTTACTATGTAGACCAGGCAGACATTGAACTCATAGAGTTCTGCCTCTGTCTCCTAAATGCTTGGGATTAAAGGAGTCTGCCACAAAACCAAGCAAGAAACATTATTTCAAAGTAAAAATTTCATGGAAAAAAAAATGAGCAAGTAAAAAAAAAAAAAAATACATAAGTCAATCCCATACAAAGAAAAGAGACAGAAAACAAGAATGTAAGTTCGTATGGGTAATTAGCACACAACAGAAAGATGTTCCCATTAAACAAGCGAGATAAACACACTGAGAAAATGGTGTGGAAACACAAAAGAACTTCAGTCATCTGTAGAAAAAACAAAGTAGACTCAAGCGACCAGGCTGCACTGCACAATGCAGGTTGAGGCCAGCATGGTCTCCACAACAAGGCCTTAGCTGAAAAACCTAGAAAAGTAGAACAAGTGAAACTCTGAACAGGCAGGAAAAATAATCACAGAGAGTAAAGAGGGACTTACATATAAGAGCAATGTGACCCAAAGAAGATGCTTGGGCAAAGGATTATTAAAAGCGACAAATGTTTGACACTAGGTAAGATATGGCTGGAAGAAGAAAACCAAAGTCAGAGAACAGAGGAAATACAAATGGTTGCAACTCAAGGATATTTTTCTGAAATCGAAAATATTTTTAACCACGTTATTAAACAGACGGTGAGTCATGCAACCACCAACCATATTGCATGCCCTGTAAAAATATTTAGACGTAAAAAACATCCTTTTGATACCTAGGCAAAGAACATGTGACTTATATGGAGAAATCAAATTGTTACTACTCTCTAAGAATGATGGAAAATGAGAACAATTAACATATTCAGATAAGAAAATGTGAGCCAAAGGTTTCATGTCTAGAAGGTATTTTCAAGTAGAAAGTGCATGAATTGATAAAGATGTCAGAAATACGATTCTGATGGGCTTGAGGACACTGGCTAAGGATGGGTTCTCCAAGCATGGGCTTAGCCAATACTACAGGTCAATCTAGGAGCAGAGTGCATGTGAGTGGTTACAGACTAGAAGTGTAGACACAGTCAGCTGCTTATGAAGGAATGGAGGATGGAGACAGCCTTGTATGTGAAACTGTACTGGTACGAATAACAGTATTATTATACAAGTACTAGTTTTAAAGCAGGATTAAGATATTAATATAGGATATGGTTTAATGTATTTTTAACTAAAAACATTATTCTCTGTGTGTGTGTTGTGTGTGTGGTGGCCCATGCCTGTGGGAGACGGAAGGCAGAGTGTGGAGGCCGGAGTATAACTTGCAGGAGTTGATTCTTTATTTTCATTATGTAGGTTCTAGGAATCAAACTCAGATAATCAGGCTTTGCATCAGATGCCTTTACCTAAATTACTGACCCACTAGAAGATATTCTAATTCCACAATATATCCTTGAGAAGGAATACCCATATGTGGAAAGGACACAGACATGTGTAAGTGATTCGGTTATAAAAAAGGCAACCTGTAATTCACAATTTGATTAGTTACACCGGAGGGAATTTATTGAAGCCCCTCTCTAGCTCTGCCACTGAAAAGAACAACATAGTGATGACTAAAAATCTCACAGCAAAGATTACCTAACTAATGACCTTAAAATACTTCTCCACTAAAGGAGACCAGAGTTCTGAAAGGAATGAAGGTATCAGCAAACAACCAAGAACAGCTTAACTCCAGCAAGCAAACTCTGTACTGTGCGACAGGAACACTAAGGTCAAGTGGGCAACACTGGGCTTTACATGAAGTTGAGAACTGTTCATCATTCTAGAACTGGGTTAGTACCCAGCTCATTTTGGTGCTGGGTACTGAACAAAGGCCCCTCATGCCTGCAGAGCTCTACCCCTGAGCTACGACTGCAGCCTCATAACAATGTGTACAAAACAGTACAAGTCCTACCAGAGGATTCACACAGACCAGTTGTTTTGAAAATGGGCACATAAAGGAAAAAGCCCTTCCCTCCAGGATTCATCCTTTTATCACAGAAAAAGAATTAACGCAGGCCTGATGCTTCCCGATGAAAGCATTCAACACCACAGGTATACATCTTATGAATCCATCAAGTCTGACAAATTTAGCTTCTGAAGCCAGATGTGATCAGCAGACACACAGACAGAGTGCCATATGGAAAAGTCCAACCAGTGGTTCATAAGGCTCAGATGAACTGCACAACAGGAATGGGGAGAAAGTGTCTCTGTAAGATTGGGCAGTGAGCAAGCCTATAAGCAGCAGCCCTCCATGGCCTCTGCATTATTAGCTCCTGCTCTGTGTGAGTCCCTGTCTTGATTTCCTTCAATAACGGACTACAATATGGACATGTAAGACAAATAAACCCTCTCTTTTCCAATTTGCTTTTGGTTATGGTGTTTCATCACAGCAAACAGTGACCCTCACTAAGATAGCAGGTAAATGCATTCACGGAGCCATGTCTTGAGTTTGATCGTTGGGACCTTCATGGCAGTCCCAGACTCCCCTAGTTGCTCTCTTAACTTCATATACAAATCATGGGATGTGTATGCCCATATACATGCATATATACAGTAAATGTATATACCAATGTAACTTTAAATATTAAAAAGAAGGGAAAGCATTTAAGTGATTATTGATACAGATTAGGGCAGTTAGGAGGAAGTTAGGTGTGATGGGGACATGCAAAGGCTTTCATGGTGTCTACCACATTGATTTCTTAGCTTGGGTAGTGACTGTTAGGGATGTTTATCTGACAATTTAACTATAGTAATATTGGGAAATTTTTTATACTGGTGTTTTGTTTTACAGTAACAGCAGGCACTGGTATGGGACATAGGTGTGTAACTCTCTCTGGGACAGGATATGGAGGGGCCGATGCTGTGTGTAAATTACCTTCACTTATTGCACTTTTCATCAATGGTCCTCCTTTGAGAGCCTCCTCTGTGTTGGATCGGAAGAGGACTCTTGGGCTGTGGGTTGGCGAGCCATCCTCTGGCAAGGGAGTGCTGCACTCAGTCATGTCCCGGAAAATCATCTCCTTCTCTTCCAGCAAGAGGAGGATCTGCTGGTCCTTCTGTTGAAGTTGTTCTGCAGGGCAAACAGAGAAACCATGTGACTTGTCGGGAGCTGGGGATCACAAGATGACTGAGAGATGAGCACCACCTAGTGGTGGCTATTGAAAGACCCAAGGGAGGAAATGGCTCCCATGCTCCTGCAGTCTCAAACTGCCCTGGGTTCTTTCTGCAAACATTAGCATTTTGGACACAACTCTATCCCATCACTACATTCAGTTGACTAGTTTTTGTCTGTTTCTTTAATAAATGTATAAAGTGCATTACCCTAATTTCTTTCCTACCCTTAGTATTCAATTCCAAGTAGTTTTCCTACATTCATGACGTTTTTTATTTTTATTTTTTGAGATGCAAATAGTTTCACCAGGTTCATCTGCATGAACATGGGCTTCGAACTATTCATTGGAGCTGAATGAGCTTCCTCAATGAGGACTTAAGACCTTACTGCCCTTCCTCCCAAATCCAGCAGGGAGCAGCCATAGCTGCCGGTCTTGACCCTAGGCACAGTGCCACGCCCTGAAGACAGCATTCAGGGTCTTTCTCCCTCTCCTGAAGCTCTTGCCTTCTTCCTACTTCTTCCACCATGTTCCCAGAGCCTCACAGGGAGTGCTATAAATGTCACTGACTTATTAACTTAGACACCACTATGGAATATGGCAAATTCTCTATGACAAGCTATAAACAAAGTCATCACTGTCCAAGAACAAACATCAAGATCAGAGAATCCATATTCCCTAGTGCTATGCTATTTATTTAATATTTATATTTACTTATACTGTTTATTTTTATTAGTATAGGGATTGCATGTATGTATGTATCACAAACATGCCCAGTGCCTACAGAGGCCAGAAAAAGGCACCATATCTCCTGAAACTGGAGTTATAGACCGGTTCCTGAATTGAACCCGGATCCTCTGGAAGAGCAGTCAGTGCTTTTAAATGCTGAGCCATCTGTCCAGCCCCTCTAGACTTATTGCCATTCTCTTTTGGAAGGTATCTGTTTTTGTAGTTGAGCTGACTGAGACAGCTCAGGGTTCATGAAAAGACTGGCTAGCTGCAGATGATAAAGACCATTTCCAACATTTTACCTTTTAACTCCCGGGCTTTCATATCCAACAATTTCTTTTCTTCTTCATTCTCACTAGGAATCCCTTCATCTTCATCTCTGTTCCTAACATAACCAAAATAAAACAAGATGAAACAAACAAACAAAATGCCTAAGATGTCAGTTATGTGGTCACTGCCCTGTGTACGTCACACAGAGGTACTAGGCAGACCCTGGTGTCTCACTTACAGGGAGTTGATTGTATCCTGTATGATATGAATCCAGCTATTCCGCTCCTCTCTGGAGCTGGCATGGACCTCCACCATCTCTGGATCCTTCACCCCCATACTGATGAGGAACAGACCTTTTTCTTCATGTGCCACTTCTCTTACAATCAGCTTCTTTAAGGAGATCACAGTTGACTTATGGTCCTGGACAGAGGAGAGAGGCAAACAAAAGCATAAGACATGCATGCAGCACACTCACTCTTGAAAGACAACTCTAACTTAAGGTAAGCTCAGATAGTTTTAAATGCATTATTAAAACCAAAATAAAGTCAATTTAACCCTTTTCCAAAACAAACAAACAAACAAACAAGCAAACAAACATACACAAAACCCCCACAGCTTTCAGGTAAGCATTTCATCATTTTACTCAAATTTAAACAAGAGATTTCCACACTGGAGATTAATGGATCATGGCAAAAAAAAAAAAAAAAAAAAAAAAAAAATCCTATCTATGTTTTCTGCATGATGAAACTCCAGAGGTGGGTTTCTATTGTGATCAAAGCATCAATCAAGTGTTGAGGGCATTCAGGGGGAGTATGAAGGAACATAAAAATAATTTTGCATTGGGAAGGAGTAACAACAATAACAACACAAACACCACAAGGGTATGTAGGAATTTGTTCCAAGGACTCTTTTGTGAGTCACATGGTTTTCAGTGGGCAGCTACAGCTATATGATAGCTATATTAATGCTAGCTGGTTAAGCTTTATACCCAGTCTAGTGGGTATGAATATGACTTATTTCAAACAGATCAGAGTAACAGTTCAGCTTACCAAGGATGCAAATACATATTTCTGGTCTTTTTCTTGAAGGAAAACTAGAATGTCAGTGAGGAGAACTGCTTGAACCTCTGCAAAGTAGAAATGGGAAAGAGGAGAGAAGCTGTTTATAAAATTGGTTCAGCAATGCGTATCAACTTTGTCTGAGATCACACCCATCCCCTGCAACCGTTTTGTAATCTGCAAGATTCAGAGCTGGTCAATGGATTTTTAGATGTCTTTCATTCTGTCTTTAAAGTGTTTGTACTTATTTTGTTGTCTTTAGTAAACTATGCTATCGAGCATGTTACAAATCTTCAGATATTGTTTTCAGCAACAATAACAATAGTATTAAATATACTGAAACCCCAGATTTGTCACTTACATCCCAGATCCAAAATGGACAAATATATAAATTACTTTATGATGTTGGCACATAGAGAAATGAGTAATTTACACCCTGTAAATAAATGTGTCACTTTTAGCTTCACCTTCCTAGGATGTTTTGAGGGATATAACTTGACCCACGGAATGAGGATTCAAACACACAATGTTACTGGCAAAGCAAATAGTTGCTTTTTATCCTATAGGTATTTTAGGCACATTGCCATAAGTCTTGCCTCAGAAAAGGTTAAGTGATCAGTCCTGAAAAGATATATCCTGTACTGCAGAGTGAGTGAGTGAGTGTGTGTGTGTGTGCGCGCGCTGTTATGTGCTTGCATGCATGTGCTCAAGATTGTGTATGACCTCTTTTGTCTTCCAGAGTTGATTTTGGGTATTTTCCTCTACTACTCTCCCAACCTTATTTTTTTTTTTACCTATTTTTTTTCAAGATGTATTTATTTATTATGCATACAGTGTTTGTCTTCGTGTATGCCTGCAGGCCAGAAGAGGGCACCAGATCTCATTATAGATGGCCATGAGTCACCATGTGGCACTGGGAATTGAACCCAGGACAGCTGGTGCTCTTAACCTCTGAGCCACCACTCCAGACTCTCTTCACCTTGCTTTTTAAAACAGGGGTTCTTTTATTGAACCTGGCTGGGGCTTGCCATTTTTGGCTGGACTGGTTGGTCAGTGAGCTTTGGGGATCCTCCTGTCTTTATTTGCTGTCCCTCTCACCCAGGTTACAGTGTGCGTCACTGTATCTGGCTTTTGTGTTGGTTCTGGAGATCTCAATTCAGGCCTTCATACACACATACAGAAAGTCACCGAAAAGCTGACTATCCCACTAAGCCATTACTATGTATGATAAAGTTTTAAGTATAAAACACTTTCAAGAATGAAGGTGAACTTCAACCAATGTTAAGATAGGAAGCAACTTCTGCCAACATATTCCATGAAATATTCTTCAGCGTGTCCGCCCCCCACCCTCCCACCCCCATTGGAGACCAAACCCTGGGTTCTATGCACGCTAGGTAAGACTCCCCCTGAGCTGCACTCACAGTCCACAGTGTTTGTAGTCTTTCCTAATTTCTTATTATATTAATGGGAAATAGCAGCCAGAAAGTGCCCAGAAGGGACATATAGCAGACACCTTCTCCATACCCCACATGAACACTGCATAAAATAGGGTGTGGTAGTACACACCTGTAATCCCAGTGCTTGGGGGAGTTCAAGGTGATCCTCAGCTGAGTTTGTGACTACCCTGGGTTACCTGTGATTCTCTTACCTTTTAGCCACCCAAAACAGGACAGAGACATTTTAAAGCAAAAGATTAAGACAAAACCCCACCCTACCCCACCCCATTCTAGATAGCTTTAACTGTCAACCTGATATAGCCTAGGGTCTTTTAAGAAGAAAGCCTCCAGTGAAGAACTGGCTAGATCAAAGAGGCCCAAGGCCATGTCTGTGGGGAAATGTTTTGATTATTAATTGCTGTAGGAGGCTTCAGCCCACTGTGGGTGATACCATTTTCTGGTGTCCCTGGGCTACGTAACAAAGCTAGCTAAGCATCTAGTGTTAATTTGTTCCTCTCCTGATATACTTCAATGATGGACTGTGACCTGGAAGTGTAAGCCCAGTACACTCCTCTCTCCCCACTGTTGCTTTTAGTCAATGTTTTTAATCACAGTAACTAGGACATTTGTACAGACATACTCTAGCTTCATAGGCAGAAGTGAATTCTGCTTTTATAGTTGGTAGTCAGTCCTCTTCCACACCACCAAAACAAAACCGTGCATGGAACAAGAGAGTGAAATGGGGGGCATAAGTTAGATAAATTTAATTGTTTGTAACATACAACATGAAAGCTGAAGAAGGACTATCTGGGGCAAGATGGGGACCAGTAGGGGGTAGAGGCAGTGTAAACAACCGTGTGTGTATTAAGATATCATAATGAGGCCAGGTAGTGGTGGCACACGCCAAGTACTGGGGTACTTGAGAGAAAGAGGCAGACAGAACTCTGTGAGTTCAAGGCCAAGTCTGGAAGTCTGGTCTACAAGAGTGAGTTCCAGGACAGGGTCCACAGCTACAGAGAAACCCTGTCGTAGAAAACCAAATTAAAAGGAAAAAAAAATCATACCTATTGTTTCTTATGCGAAGGAAATTAATTTAAGAACTATGTAGGGCAAAACAATCCATGTTTTGTCTGGATTATCATGGTGAAGCTGAGTACAAACTGCAGAATATAAAATATGACACACAAACAAAGCCAACAGGCTGGTGTCTATTTCAGTGGTACGGTGCCTAAGATTCCAGCAGATCTAGGTTCTACCACCATCGTCATCACCGAAATGGAACAAAACAAACAATTCAATATCTTTAATTGGATCCAGGAACTTAAAAAAAAAAAAAAAAAAAATCACCTCATGATCTGACTGGTCCTCTAGGCATACAAAGGGTCATGTTTGCTCTACATGCTCTACAATACACATCTCCCAGCCAGCTGGTCAGAACCACCAGGCCGATGCTTACACCGGGAAAGCTTACATGCTTTCCCTCTGGAAAACAGAGCCGATGGCTCCTTGGGGAACTGGGTTCATCTATGCAGTCTGCCCTGCCTTCTTCAACCTCTGCTACAACTAAATGCAGCAAACAGAAGCAAGGGAGGTCTAAATTTTCAGACTAGACAACAGTAATTTTCCATGCACTATTATTAGTTTTGACAAGTTACTTTTTTAAAGTTTACTTTAAAGTAGTTCAGGTGTCTTCCAACAACAAGTCCAAAAGCATAAGTTTCAACTTTGCTGGATCCTGAGGTTCATATGATCAGTGTTATGGATCAGAGAAAAAAACAATTCCACCCCTTCCAAGGGTGTTCAATACAGTACCGGCTGTTCTTGGCCGGGGTTCACGGCGGTGTGAAAATGACTAAATACCAACCCATTCTCCCCACTGCAGGCATTTCAAGCCAGAAACCTATTGTTCTGCTATTGGTTTGACCACAACTTTATCCCAACAGCTGGAACCTATTCGTTTTTATTTTGGGAATAAACTGCCATGTAAAGGAAAAGAATAAAGTATTGGTTCCAGGCAACAGCAGTTCTAGCAAATCTAAGCCCTCTTGAGAAGGACAGGTATTTCTGAACTGCCAGCCTGTTTGAAAGATGGGCTCTTTGAAGTGGTGTCTGGGCTAGGGCTCTCAGACCACCACAGAACTTTGAGGGTTGGAAGACAGGAGCACCTTAAGTTATCAGAGGATATCCTAAACACCAGAGGCCAGGGACACTCTAAAAAATTACCCCACACTTCCTTTTCATGTCTTCCATCACTGGGGAGGTGTTGGTGTTTTCCGAAATAGCCTAACATTTCCAACACCTCTGTCACTTACGATGTACTCTATACTACCTCCAGTTGTGTTGAAAACAAAAACAAAAACAAAAAACCCCACTGAAACCACAGAACACCTAATTCATCCCCTTTCCATATGAAATCCTTTCATTGTTAGTCGCATGGAGCACAACTCCTCACGGTCACAGTGTGGCAGGCGCCTCTGGCAGCTGGACCCAGCAGGGTCTCATTTTTCTCTTCTGCTGTCACTCTCCCAAGTCTGTCTGGGAGTCCTGAAGATGTAACTTTCCCTGGTTCCAGGCCCTCCCAATGCCACGCTTTCCCACCTCCAGCAACACCTTCCTCCTCATTCACCAGGGCCGTCCGTCCGTCTGTCCTCCCTCTTTATTCTGGCACCCAGCACACTGGAGTCTGAAGTCAGCTGTCTGGAGGGGACTTGTGTACTACTGTCCTGAGTATGCTAAGGCTATGCTGAGGGCAGCTGAGTGCTCTGACTGAAGACATCTATTGCAGCATCATTACGTCTCTGAGATGGGGAAGGAAACATTCCTTCTAATATCAGCATGTTCCTGTGACAACAGTGCGACCATGGCCTGTTCCGTATCCTCAGCTCACCGAGTCCAGGACTGTGGCAGGAATACCTGCAGCTGCTGGGAAGTTAGAGCTCACACAGGCAGTGTGCCTGTCCAGTAAATGTTTGATGAAACTCATCATGTTCCTAAAAGTAAGATGGTGTGAAACCCCTAACTTCCTTAAGTTATTGTAGGTGACCGATGAAAGGTGAGAAATCATAAACCAAATGCATGAATTGTCTTTAATGATCGATTTTGCTTTAGAGAAAAATGATACCATAAAGCAATAAGGAATTTAGTTGAAATAAGCTAGACTTGCCCTTCTCTAAAGTCTCAGAAGGCTTTTTGGGAGTGATAAATTCTCAGTCTTACAGATTCACAGTCCTCGATTCAGACAGTTGTGCCACTGACCCCAACTCCTCAGTGGGCACTCAGCACCTCTCTGTGGGTGGGGGAGTATGTCTTCCTCAACAGTCTGCTACATGTATTAATTTGGTCCTTCATGTTTTAAAACTTGCACTTATCATTTTTCCTGGGTGTACCTTTTCCTTGTTGCCACATTTCATAGGACTTTGAAAGTCACCCGAAACATGGCTTTTGTGACATATTACTATTGCACCAGGTGGTGTCTGGATATGGCTCTCCTAGGAAGAAACCTGGTGATGAAGTCCAGAAGAATCTAGACTTTTTTGTGTTCTCCCCAGGCACACAGACATTGGAAGTCGTCTTACCTTTCAACCTTCCTGTTGCACTCTTCAGAAACACACTCCCATCCCGCACCAGCTTCTTCCGCTTCAGATCCTCCTTGGCAAACATCTGCCCACTTTTCATCCTCATGATCGACTTGCTATCGGTCTTGGTGTAAATCTCCCCGAGACGCACTTTCTTCTCATAACTTGCCACTTTGCTGTCCACGGCTCCAATCACATCCTTCACCAGGCTCAGGGACTGAGCTAGGTCTTCTTGCTCCACTTCATTGTCTTGGGAGAAAAGAACTACTTTTAATGGCCCTTTGCACACAAGAGCAGAAGGGAAGGAGTCTACATCGTCACATTCCCCCGCTGTTACACTTTCACACTGGAGTGAAAACCAAGTCACAAGCTTACCTTTACCACTGCCATAAGTTTAATTCCAAAAGAAGTCAGAAGTACTCAATGCTATGGATGATATGCAATTATATGCTCCAAAGCAAAAGGAACCGATGTTTTAGGGAGAGAGAGAGAGCAGCAGAGGCATGTAACAAGCTACTCAGTTATATCTTTACTGTTATGTTAAGTGCCCCATAACCTTTAATGGAACTGCCTAGGAGAAGCATCAGCTGAGAGAAACCACCACATACTAATTAAATGAGACAGTAACAATTTTAGCATTTAGGGGAAGAAACGGTGGGAATTGCTGACCAAATCCAATGTTATCAGAACTAGTTAGTGTTCAGGGCACATAATGTTTTAACAGAACCAATGCATGGTCATTCCTTGACATCGTCCATCTACCCCAATTGTAGTGATTTAATTGTTGTGGTATTCCAGGAATTGAATCCAGGGCCTTGTGCCTATCTGGGGAGTAATCTAGCACTGGGCTATACCTCCAGCCTGCATTTCCAGGAATTTAATCCAGGGCCTTGTGTATATCCAGGAAGCACTATAGCACTCAGCTGTGCCTCCAGCTTGCTTCTCAGGTTTTGCCTTGATACAGGCCTCACTGGATGCCCAGGTTGGACTTGAATCTGCTCTAGGTCCTAGCAGGCCTTAAATTTGCATCTCATCTGCCTTAGCCCCAAGTAGCTGAAGCCACACAACTGTACCACTGGGCCAGTTTCCTTTCTTTCAAGAAAAACATGTATTAGGTAGGTTAAATTTTATTTCCCTGTAATCCCAGCACTGGGAGGTTGAGCAGAAGGATTGTGAGTTTGAGACTAGACTGGGCTACACAGTGAAACATGGGCTCAAAAAACTAAAAACAGCAACTGATGGGAGATGTCATTCTGTATATGTTTCTCATACTGGTTAATAATAAAGCACTGTTGGCCAATAGGAAAGGAAGATAGGAGGGACTAGGAGACAAGGAGGAAATAGGAAGTAGGAAGGAGGAGTCAAGATGGAGAGTCTGGAGAAAGCAGTATGCCGCCGGCTCCCCGGTAAGAGAAGGCCATGTGAAAATACATAGATCAGCAGAAATGGGTTAATAATTAAGGCAGAGCTAGCCGATAAGAAACAAGTAACCGGGCCAACAGCATTGTATCAAATACAGAGTCTCTGAGTGTTATTTGGGGCTGATGCGCGCAGCAGGACAAGACCAAGCGGCGGGCGGAAAAACCCATACTCTTACAAATGGCGCCCAACGTGGCTAATAAGAACTTCCACTTAAAATTTAACAAAAGCTTAAAAAAGGGTTTTACAAACAAAAGAACAGAGACAAGCAAGGTTTCTTGGTAGCAGCATTTTCTCGGTTAAACTCTGCTTTGCGAGAGACAAGCAGATATTCGCACGACTCCTTTAAGGGAAGATTCCTGACTCAGCATAAGCGGGAAAAAAAATGCACAGCTTTTAAATAACTCTGCTAACAATTTATTGGTGTGTATGAGAGATGGCAATGGCAGTGACCACATCTCCAAGCCGGCAGCATGCTTTCTGGGTGGCAGCGCAGACCAAGGCGGTGAGCACAGCTTTCCGTGCTGGCGGTAAAAGTACCCGCCACCATCTTTGGTAAACAGCGGCTGACACAGCTATGACTTTCATTTTAGCAATGTTGTTGTTTACCAGATAAAAGACTTGTGGCCAGACGAAGATAAAGATTTACAGTAAAGACAGATTCATATTAAGAAGAACCTCTAAAGGTTTACAGTGTGTTTTAAAATATACGTAGACATGAAAAAAAATGGTTTTAAATAGACAAAGAGGAACTGGGTGTGGTGGCACACACCTTTAATCCCAGCACTCAGGAGACAGAGGCAAGCAGATCTCTGTGATTTGCAAAGTAAACCTGGTATGCAGAGTAAATTCCAGGACAGATAAGAGTTACACAGTGAAACCCTATGTCAAAAAATAAAAAAATAAAAGTAAAATAAACAGTAATAATAAAGCCATGTAAAGATGAAAAGCTCAGAGAGAATCTGGTTACTGTATGCTATTGTGTTGTCTCTATATTGTTTGAGTGCTGAAAAAATAACAACTGATAAAGGAAATGCTGCTGGATTAATTAAATTTATATATTTTAAAAATGCTTTGACTCAAAAATTTAAGTTCAAGGACAAGTTACTGGGGAAAAGGATTTCTATTTTTGTTTCCACAGAAAATGAAAAGCTGTGGATTCCTTCCAGACTAATGTGGTTTGATCAAGCCAGGCCCCCTGAAACAGTCGCTGATGATCCAACATTCAAAACAGCTTGAACAAGGCAGACTTGCAGACTACAGCCAGGATTTCTGCATCTTCTTAGGATCCCCATGACAGTGCCCCTATCAGCAGGAAGTAGTTTGGAAAGAACGACGCCCAAATTCCCAAATATTGTTTATAAATGTTTGGTTTTATTTAAATGGATTTGGTTATAAATGGGTAATGATCGCAGCCAATTATTTTTAAAGGTAAAAAGGGAATTATGGTATTGATATGATTACTTTGTTTTGGAATGGATTTTCATTTATTGATACAATTTAAGGTCAATTTTGTCATATGTATATTTCTCCTCTTGTTTGTATAGCTCATTTAGAAATATAATGTATAATGTAGTACAGATTATAGATAATTACCTATGATAGTCAAAGCTTAGAGTTTAGTTAGGGTTTTCAAGATACACAGAGATGTATTTAAGATAAATAGTTATTCTTCAAACCTTTCAAAGACCTACAGAATATGGCATTTAAAATGGTTTAGGGTTTTACTTGACAATGAGACATAATTGCTCCTGGTAACACCACCTGCGTCAAAAAAGGAAGATGGACATTAAAGAAACACGTTATGGAGTTTACTTCCAATATGGCAAGACTAGCCATTTGGACAAAATACTGCTCTTGTCTGGACTGTTTGACTTTGTGCTATATAAACTGGACATGCAGGGCCCACAGAAAAGTGACTGCTGATTCACGATGGACATTGCTACAGAGTTCCTGCTTCATGGAAGAGTCTGCGAGACAGTATGCAGGACACAGAGAAAAGTGACTGATAAACTGCCAATACAAGAAGACAGTTTAAAGTTTCCTGCATTGCTGAAGAGTCTGCCAGACACACTATGGCCTATGGGCTGAAGATGGAAGATTACAAAAGAACTTTGGGTGACCAGGCAGTGAGTTGTCTCTGTCATTTCTAGAGTTTATACTATCCTTCTGTGGTCTTTGAGGGACTTGAAGACAGAGAGTTATGGTTATAGTTTTCCTTAGTTAGGCTTACAGATAAGTTACATATAGGACTTTGGACTCACAAATATAGGATAGATGATAGAATAGTTTCTTTTAATCTTGCTAAATGTTAATGGACTAAATATTGTTAACTGTGATTCTTATTGGATAACTGTTATGTGATATATTTTGCTATGTTAAGGTTAAAACCCTTCTTTTCATTTAGTCAGAAAAGAGGAGATGATGGGAGATGTCATTCTGTATATGTTTCTCATACTGGTTAATAATAAAGCACTGTTGGCCAATAGGAAAGGAAGATAGGAGGGACTAGGAGACAAGGAGGAAATAGGAAGTAGGAAGGAGGAGTCAAGATGGAGAGTCTGGAGAAAGCAGTATGCCGCCGGCTCCCGGTAAGAGAAGGCCATGTGAAAATACATAGATCAGCAGAAATGGGTTAATAATTAAGGCAGAGCTAGCCGATAAGAAACAAGTAACCGGGCCAACAGCATTGTATCAAATACAGAGTCTCTGAGTGTTATTTGGGGCTGGCGCGGCAGCAGGACAAGACCAAGCGGCGGGCGGAAAAACCCATACTCTTACAAGCAACAAAATAAATAGTCATGAAGAGATGTTTACAAGATGAGATACATCTGTAATCTCAGCACTCTGGGGGAGGTGGAGGAAGAACTGCTGTGAATTTGAGGTCAACCTGGGCCAGAGTGAGAATCTATGCCCTAAAATAAGTCACTGAGCTAGGCATAGGCATTCTGGTAGGTCTGCTAGAGCATGGCAGAGCTCTGCTACTGTGGTTTCCAGGGCTATCTGGATCTGTGTTCACAGGCAGACTCACCTTTGGTACATTGCAGTATCCTCTGGAATAAAACTGGGTACTTGGTGATCCTCTGAGTTACAAGTAATATGCACTCAGGGATTCCGAGTCTTCTTACCACTGAACTGCTCATCTTCTTCTGCAAGGGAGTGAATTCACTGTTAGTCACTAAGTGAGGAAGGTGGCTCTAGCCAAAATGGGGGGCTTATGTTCCTGACCATGATCAGGAGGGACTGTTTCTGGTCAGTACCTTCACAAAGGCTTGGAAACGCTTATCCTTTGTATAGAGGTCTTTGAAGTAGTTGACAGACTGGTTGTGATGTCCACAGAACTTGCCATATGTCTTCTTCAAGCGCTCTGCATTCTCACCTGAAAACTGCCCAGTAAAGAGAATAGGAGTTACACAACTCAGGGTATAATTCTTTATAAAGTTTCCAGTCTTGTTGTAAAAACCAAGGGTGATTCCTAATAAACTCCCCGAAAAAGATTAAATAGTAGAACAGCCCTGGCAAACTGTTTGGCACTTTATCAAAAGGTTAGACACTGAGGTCTCAGAGGACCCAGTGATTTCTTATGTGGGTTTCTTCACTCACAATGGAGAGACAGAAGCAGAACCACTACCACAAACTAAGTGTCCTACAAGGTTGAGTCCAATAGCATCATACAGAGAACACATGAGCACCATGGGACTAGAGTTTCAATCTCAGCATCAGCATCAAAGACTTTAAGACTATAAGTCAAGACGTAGTATCTATATAGGTCCTGAAAAGGAGGGGTGGGGGAGAGAGCAAGAAAGCAAGTGTGTGTGTGTGAGTGTGTGTGTGAAGGATGGATATACATACATACATACATATATATATATATATATATGTATATATATATATATATATAGAGAGAGAGAGAGAGAGAGAGAGAGAGAGAGAGAATGTTTGAAGGAGAGATGCTTGGGGAAGATGGTTCTTCACTTGTAGGACCTCACATTAGGTTCATTTTATAGAACTATTCAATCTGCACTTGCCAAATGCAAGTATCTCACATGGAATATCCATTTATTTGCATCATGTCTGCTTTTCACAGATTTCCTTAAGGCAGAAAGCTATGTAAATGTAATATTCAGCTGTGCAGTTTACCCCTGGCATTTAATAGATAGCAAATCCTTTTAAAATGAGCAGATACACTGATAAATTATCAAGCAAGGGATGTGGGCTCAAGGATACTAGGGAAGGACAAGATCTCAGCCAAGCCTGTAATCCCAGTTCCTTGGGAGGTTGAAACAGCCTTAGAATAAATGCAAAAACAAGCAGGGGATGTAGCTCAGTGGTAAGGTGCTGACCTGCCACATATGAAAATCCCTTGGTTCAATCCTGAGTACTACCCCCAGCTCCAACCCAATTCTCATTCAACCATTCCAGCAATTAAGTCTCTGCCTCTACACAGAAGCAGGGATCTGATGAGGAAGAAAGCTCTAGTCACATGTGTGTGATATTCTTGTCTGTTAATGTTTTACTAGCAACGTTTCCTTTTTCAAAAACATTTAAAAACAAACATCAAAAGCTGCTCATGACATACATCTAAAAATATAAAAATACTTTTCTAAGTTTCTTCGGAATGGGAATGAAATAAAATCATGTCAGAAAAAGGTAACACATAAAGTGTTTCACAGACAGCCTACTGGACAACTGCCTGAGCTTTAGCTGGTCTTTCAGGTAGATGGGATCCTTTTCAGATGGGCTATAGGGAAAGCTGAAGGCTCTGACAAATGTCCTTTTACTTCTTAAACAGTACTGTTTGATGATTGTGTGGATTTAGAGGAAGAAAAACCTTTTCTATATACTTTATTATACACATAGCTAACTTTCTAAATAAAAAAAAAAAAAGGCAGAGAAACCTTTCTGTCATTATTTTACAGAAAAGGAAATCAAGAGTTAGACTGCCTCAATTTGTTAAGGCTCCAAAGACAAACCGTAAAGCTGAGATATACAAGCAGGGGTCCAGAATCACAAAGCTTCTCTGCTACTCCAAAGTATAAGAAGACCCACGGCCTTCCCGATGCTCACCTGATTGACAAGCACATCCCCTATCCTCTTGACAAGAAAGTTCTTTTCACTTTTATCCACCAGAGACTCCTTCTTCCGCTCTAGGATTCTCTGAAAGAACTGGCTATGGATACTGATCAGTTCATCCAAACAAGGGAACAGCTTTTCTACCATCTGCTGCTCAAATAGCAGGTCTGTCATCATCCCTCGGCTGTACACGTCACTCATGATCTTGAGTGTGCGGATGTGATGTAACTCTGTCTGCATCAACTCTGGAGAAGAGAGATCAAGGGTCTTTCAGAGATCACAGCTAAGCCTGTAAGGTTAGCTCAGAGTTCAGCTGAGACTTTAAAACCAAGCAAATAGCTGTCATTCCCTAAGTAGTCTCATCTTACTTTGTTTTTCCCTGACCTAACATCATTTTTCTAATGATAGGTAGACTGAATTCAGACAGTCTTAAATGGGTTTCAGAGAAATCTTCATTAGATTCAGTCCCTTCCATTTACTGTGTTTCTGGTATTTTGCCTTTCTAGTGTAGCTCAAGAACTAAAATGCATTTTTAGAAGACATCTCTTTTATAGACTGTTTTATAAGTACATTTGCAAATGTAAACACACTGTTAAATGCAATAAAAACTGAACAGAATGGAACACTATAGGGCAAAACGAACAAAAGGACACAAGCAATATCATGTCTCCATACCTCAGTGGTTTTAATGGAAACCTTTATGATGCTACATATTCAAAAATTAATTTTCCACAGTCCAACGATCACCCACTTAAACATGCTGGACAGGGCAACTCCTTTTCAAGTCCCCTCCATGAGAGGTAGGACAGTATCTCTACTTCTCAACAACTGTCACTTGCGTGCAAGTGTAGATGGTGTGGACAAAAATAAGCAAAATAATCGAAGCATCTCACCATAAATCACTTCCTGCCGCTTGACCACATCTTTCTTCTGCTGTTTAAGGAACTTGCTGTCTACTGTTCGGCTCCAGGACTCTGCTTCTAGCTGTTTAGAGTCACTTTCAAAGTCTCCCATCAGCTGTCCTTCATTCATGTCTGTACCTACTCCTTAACATATTAAAAAAAAAAAAAAAAAAAAAAAAAAAAACAACCTCAGGATCTTCCTCCAGGTGAAAAGAGTTTGTAAGACAAATCCTCTGTCTTAGTGTAGAGGATACTCAAGGAGATCATACCAGATACTAGGCAGAATCATGGTCAAGTTTAGGAATGAAACATTCTATATTCAAGTCTGGTTTGGAATAAGCATACATACATACATACATCTAACAAGATTGAAACAATTCCCATGTGACTCTGGAGCCTGAAACATCCTGCTGTCTTTACATGCTGCACATGCCTATCTGAGTAGGCTTACAATTACAGACACAGAACTGAATGTGTACAAAGTCTAGAGGAAGAAAAGCATTCATACTTGAGTATGCCTATGTTAAAAAAAAAAAATCAATGTTTCCTTTAATGGAAAGCCAACACCTGGATAGATGCGATGGCCAATGCTCGGTACTGCAGGAGATACTTTACAGGCAATTTAGAGACTCTCTCCAGGGAGGAGGGAAAAAGCAGGCCCTGCTATTTGCTAATAGTGTGATAGCAGATGTACTAGATCTTGACAGGGGTTTAGTAATACATGCCAGAGTTTCTTCTTACCCTCATCAGTAAGTGATTCTGTTGATTCATTGACCTTGCAGATTTTATTCAGTGAGTCTGTTGAATGAGACAGAAATTTCCAGGTGTTTGACATGTTCTCATCATTGCCAACTCTAGAGACAAAAAGAAGGACACACTGTCAAACACTTCTAACCATGTCATCCTCATCATCCAACTGTATGCCATACCATCATTTTATACACCCACTTCTCTTTTTTTGTCAATAAAGTGATTATTATGTTCTTGTCACCCACATGTCAACTGTGGACTCTTTAAACCCACTTACCCAGTGATGTTCTGTATGGAAACACTTTTAGAGAGGGAGACACTCTGCTGGGACCGTCTGTTAGTAAACACTGGTACAGCAGTGGCCTCATCGGCCAAGAGAACTGCAGACCTAGGGCGCTCCTTGGGTTGTGAAGCTGCAAGGAAGAGAGGACATGAACTGAAGCACCATCATCTTTCCAGACCCCTAGTACCTACTTACTCAAGGCACTACAAGGACACAAAATGCTTTCAATAATCAGCTCTTTAAAAAAAGAAAAAACTTAAGACGGGGGTCTTTCTTCATATCCTTGGCTATTCTTGAACTCAGAGATCCACCCAAGTGCTGGGATTAAAAGGCATGTGCCACCACAGCAGTTGAAGCTCTGGAAATGTAAATCAGGTCCTCTGGAAGAGCAACAAGTGCTTCTGGCCATGGAGTCAACTCTCCAGCCCCTGCCCATTATTTGAATGCATGTATTTTGATCAATTTCTTAAATTTATGGATGGAGAAAAACTAGTAACTGTTTAAATACCTGGTTATTATGGAGTATTTTTCCTTAATATGATCAAAGAGGAAACTGGAGCTCTAAGTGGTCACACTGACACATGAACACTAAATTATTTTTCCTTAGTAAGCTCCTGCCACAGATGTAAATTTTTCTATCTGTCTATCCCCAGGAGGGCTAAGAGCTAAGAGAAATAAGATATGGGGGTTGGTATAATTTTATAATATTACAGGATACCTTTAGAAAATAGTAACACAATAATTGATATCTAATTTAAATTCTAGTTAGATAATAGAACAGCAGGGAGGGTGTGCTAAGACATGACCAGGGCCTTGAAGCAGGAAGCACAAAGGAGTATATTGTGGGCTCCTTGGAGAATATGCTAAAGGTTACCAGTGCACAGCATATTCTAAGTGTTTTAGAAAGGTGATTAGTTAGCAGATAAAATGTTAGAGCGGAAGAAACAGTAGTTCTTAGACTATGTGAGGACGCAGACAGGGGCATGGGTGTGTGTGTGTGTGTGTAAGTGTGTATGTGTGCATCATTGAGGAGAACCAGAATATTATGCAGAGCCCTAAATGTTCTAAAGAACTACTTGTACCTAAAAGGATGCAGAAGACACAAACACCATGAGACTGGAATCCACAACTGTACTCTTGTTTGTGTAAGTGCGCTTGCCCATGACAGTTCATGTTAGGATGGAATGTTTTCCTCAATAGCTTCTAAAACCTAAAACCTTTTTTTTTTTTTTTTTTTTTTTTTTTTTTTTGAAAGAGGGTCTGTCACTGAACCTGTAGCCCAGCATTTTGGCTAGACTGGATGTCCAGCAAGCTCCAGTTATCTGCCCATCTCTGTTCCCCATACCTACTGTTGCATACATATCCAAACCCAAACTTGGGTCATCATGCTTGTCCAACAAGCATTTTACACACTAAACCATTTTCCGATCCAGAATTTGTACTCTTAATCACTATAACATTGACATTCCATCTTATCCTAGTTAGAATGACTATTCTCAAGAGAATAAAATCTACAAAGGATGGTGAAGAAGCAAATGAAAAAAATTATATCATATTGCCGGTAGGAATAACTTAGGCCAGCCATCATGGAAATCAGTATGAAGTCTCTACAGATTAAAAGTAGAATACCCATAGGATCCAGCCATACCACTGATGGATGTATACCCAAAGGAATCAGAGGAAGGCTACTACAGGGCTGCCTATACATCACTGTTTACTGCTGCACTAGTCACAATAGTCAAGTTATGGAATCAGCCAAAAATAACTATAAGTGGATGGATGGAAAAAGAAAATATGATATACTGGAGTTTTATGCAGCCAAAACCAAGAATGAAATTATATTATTTGAAGGAAAATGTTTTAGTAAGACAATACAAAATAAGGCTTATCTGTTTTCACATATGAAATTAAAAAGTGGCAGGGACTTGAAGGCAAAATGGGGTACTACTACAGATGGATAGGGTGAAAACAAGAAGGTGGAGATAAGAAAAGCTAATGGAGGCTGATTTTACAGTACATTAAATAATGGAAGTCTCATAACAAAATCCAGTACTCTACAAATTACTATCAATATAAGTAAGAAAGTTATCTCTGAGGGTCAGAGGCAATCCACACAAAGGACCTTGCTTGTAAAAGATATTTTATCTGATGGGAAAGAAAATAGACTTCTGAAACAGGTGGTAACTTCACAGAAAAGAGTTTTAAGATTAAAACTGTTCAAGGAAGTGGGATGATAGATTGAAGTGGGTGTCAGTCTAGTGGCTGCCTCCATACAAGGATGGATGAGGACCAGACATGGGATGTGTGTAGAGAATTCATTCTCTGTGGTATGCAGATTGGTGCAGCATTTTCAAGTGCTTAGGAACTACATAAGACAGATAAGGCATAAGTAGAGCTTCCAGGCTTGAGTGGGCATCAAAATCAGTGTCTATTGAAACCTAGACCACAAAGCTCTACCATAGTCTCTGACTCACAGGTCTAGGTGGGGGTCTCAGAATCTGCACGTTATTGATTCAACTACATGCTGAAATCACAGCACTTCCATGGAGCCAACTCTGAGGATAATTACCACAGTGTTATTTATGGTAGCAGTTGGAAATGATTAAAACACAACATATGCTCTGATACAACAGCTAGAGTAACTCTAAAAATGGACAGAGATGGTGCTGAAGAGGAGACTGAGCGGCACGGGAGTAACGTGCTCACACACATGGGCTTTTAGTTCCCCTTTCCACTAATGTACACACTAAGACAGACATCGTCAAGAAGGTTTTGACGGTGCAATGCTAAGTTACTGGTCAATGAATGTGGCAGAACAAAGTAGTGACCTAATATACTACAAAATAGGTACAGTATCTTTCCAGGTAGCTTAGGCTAGCCTCAACAAGCAAGCTTCACAAAAAGATTAAGTCTGGAACAAAGAGTCTGAGTGCACTTCTGAGAGGTGTGCTGGGCTACTTACACTTGTTTCTCATGATGACTGTAGGCAGCGATGATGTATCATGTGCCTGGAGGCTCCCTTTTGGCTGCTAAAGAGAAAAGAAGGTACATACATGAAGACTGCACTGGCAACTCATCCTCCATCAGATCTCTAGCAGAGTAAAAAAAGAACAATATGTTGGGCCATGGCCATGCCCACCCAACACCCCCTTTGCCATCCTTTGGGCTCACCAAACACTGTAAATGTCTGGTTATGTCCCCACCCCCATCCCAGGAATGTTTTTTTGTCATCTATGTAGGCATGGCATTCTTCCATTTCCAGATGACCCAAGTACTCTCTCTTTGCTATAGCCACTAATGCTTTTCCTGACCTGTAGAAATTGGCTGTCCACATCCAAAAGAGAATCATCTGTGCCTTGTTCATTCTATTTCTTTGGTGACTAGCATTTGTGAACTGTTACATTCTTAGATAGAATGCTAATTTTTATTAAGTTTTGTGAGGTATACACACACACACACACACACAGTTTGAGAAATCACAAACTGAAACCTTTACTCTGAAACACATCACTAGGAGGAAATAGATCACTTCTAATTTAAAATGAATTCTTCCATAGATATTATAACCATATACAAGAGAGATGTTATTCTCTGTATCATCACTGTTCTACAGAACCCAATGCACTCAGTCTTATCAGAGACCATGAACTTTATTGACCGAGTGATCCGACAGATGGTAAATGGCAGAAGCAGGAGAGGAGATGAAAGCACAAGTGAACATTTGGGATGCTTTTTCCTTCCACCAGTATCCAGTGAGCCCCCACTGACTACTCTCTGACATACAATCTTTCAAATTTTAAGAATCTATCATATACCTGACCCCATCCCAGGTACTCAATCAAAGATTCCTGCCTTCCTGCTTATGTTCTAGTGGGAGTAAGGTACAGATGAAGGGGGGGGGAGAGTAAATCATCTAAGAAGATTCATAACACTATGAAAAAATGGAAAAAGAGTATGATGAGGGGAACTGGGACTGCTGGGTAACAGGTAACACCAGTGAGCTGAGAGGATTGTAGGAGCTTCCAATTTTGGGGGAGAAAATAAAAACCAAAGTTGGTATAAAATGTAATTTCTAAGTCTTTGCACAAACTAAGAATTTAAAGTGTGGCATGAGTCAAAATATACATCACTGAGCTCAGAAAATTCAGACACAGAAGTTAGCCACCTTCCTTAAGGCCCAGAATGAGGTCTGAGGGTCATTTGGGTATTCCTTGGAAAAGCAAACTCTTCAGTCCACTCCAGAACTGGGAATCCTTTTGGGGGGATTATAGCAGCAAATTTTTTTGAGTAAGATCTTGAGATGATTTTGATACACACTCAAGACTGAGACCACTGCACTAGGTAATGTGATTACTGATGAACATCTGTGTGGACACATCTGGAAATTCTCTAAGGAAAAACATTCTATGTATGACTCTAATACAACACTATCAGTCACATAGGCTACCTAAAAATACAGTTCCAAATTTGTATGGCTCCAATATTGGTACTTCCTGTTCTTGTATTATGTCATCCCTGCTATCCATATGTACCTTTGGAGAAAAGACCATGTAGGTTGGTCCTGAATGTAGTAGACCCCTGTACCTGCCCATCACATATCAAAGGCCTCTGATTTCCACTGGTTGCCCTCATGCTCCTAGATGGCCAAGCCAGCCATTTCAATCACAGAGTGTATTTGCAGAGCTATTTAAGACAATCGTTTAAACAGAAACACAGAGAAATGTTTAATATATGGAAATTCTAAAAAACATTCCATTTTCTTTAAAAATATTTTTGAGACAGGTTTTCACTCTGGTACAATGGCTAATATCAAACCAAGGAAAACATCCTGCATCAGCCTCCCAACTGCTGGGATCACAAGTGTGAGTCTCCAGCTCAACACTTCTTTTATTCAAAGTCTCAAATTCTTGTGTTGTTAGTCAAGAAAGGGGCTGAACAATTATCTTTAGATTAATTTGGTCTCAAAATTGGCACCAAATGATTAAAGCAAGAAAGCAAACAAATCTACCACAATCTAAATTCTAACAGGAGATGGGGGGGGGGAGGGGGGGAGGATATTTTACTATTTTAAACCACTGGATTTCACACATTCTAATAGCTAGAAATAGCTTACCTTCATTTTGACCTTTGCACAGGAGGCTAGATTTTCTCTGCAGCCTTTGTGGACAAAAGCACTACAACCTGGAAAGGAAGCATAAGGCAAGGTCATAACAAGAAAGCCAGCAGGCCATGGACTCTGACACTCCACCACTGCAACACGGAGCTGACAGACTTTTATTCACACAGGAAAAAAAAAATTATCATTAACTAACAGTACATTTTACAGGTATTTACTAGGAAGCAGGTGTATTTCTGACTAACCAAAAGAAATCAGGAATGTCTCAGGCAGGAAGCTGGGGAGGCTATGAAAACTAAGAGTTTAAATGTCTGCCATCAAGATGTTATATCTATAGGGCCAGAGAACCCTAAGATGAAACTGACATACAAGTCTTCTCTATGGAGGAGGTACTAGAATGTGCCATACAATCATTCAAAGAAGCAAAGTATCCAACAGTTCTACCAAGCTATGACACCTACGGACCACAACAGCCAGTATAGTGTGATAACCTCAACAGTGCAATAGTGACACGCATACAATATTTACCAAAAGTTCACTAAATGGACTTAACCACTCAACAAGAGGGAAACAGCCAGCTACACATGCTGAAATCATGGATCTAGGGGGAGAAATCTACAACCACCCCACTTTACTAAAATCAGAATAATCCTATGTTCTAAATATCTGTCCTTAGACCCATAGATAAGTGTAGTACCAAGTGTAGTACCAACCCCTCATCAAGAAAACTCTTCTTTGCAAGAGACAAAGGCCATTATAGAAAATTATAACCAACCAAAATGCAGAGTTGTGGAGCCTCTTCCTACAAAACAACTATCAATCTACAGAACAACTCCCACACTTAAGGCTCAGGAACACTGACAAAGATGGGGTGCAATGACTCTAAGAGCCAGAAGATGAAGGAATCTATTGTGAGATTAAGTCTCCTAGGATGTCAGAAGATACACACTTTTATAAAGCCTCACCAACATGACTGTCTAGACATGAGCTGAACAAGGACACTAACAGACAAGCTAATGTGGACAGGGAAAGACTATGGAGGATTCAACCCTACACAATGGACTACAGACAAGTACTGAATGCTGAGTTTGGATAGAATGCCAAGGGGAAGAACACACTGATTGGTTATCCAATACCAAATGATCAACCATGAAAACATACACACAAGTAACATTACACAGACCATGCAGGTTGTAGTTATGTATTTAGGAGCATACACATACAAACAGAGAAATACACATATATTTAAGAACAATTACTGTAAAAAGAGGCCATGAATTTGAAAATATAACAGGAGGTTGGAAAGGGAAGGAAGAAATGACAATTATAATCTCAAAAATAAAGGAAATAATGAAAGATGTTATGCCTAAATTATAAGAAAATATATGAAACTGCTAAAAGGTTCTGTGAAAATTTCAGGCCAAGGATCTGAAGATCTATGCTTTTTCTTTTCTTTTTTTAATGTTTTATTTATTTATTTTTATTTTATGTACACATGTCTGTGGGAGGGTGTCGGATCCCCTGGAGCTAGAGTTATAGACAGTTGTGAGATGCCATACGGATGCTGGGAATTGAACCTGGGTCCTTTGAAAGAACAGTCAGTGCTCTTAACCACCAAGCCATCTCTCTAGTCTTCAATTCTTGAGATCTCAAATACCCTAAGCCTTTTGTACCTGGCTCCCCAAGCCAGAAGATGTAACTACAACTCTCTCAAGAGCACCCCTGGGAACCCTGACTCAAGAGAATGTGGGAGATTTCCTGAGACAAAACAGATTCAAACTTACCAATGACACATTTTATCTTAAAGTATTTTTAATTTTCCATTCCCGTGGCCTATAAGGGCCACTGATGTAAAAACCACACACTCTGTGCCTCAAAAAGGTCATCAGCTCTTCCTGCTGCGATGAAGTCATAAAAACAGACTGTGCCAAGAGGCTAGAGGCAAAGCACAAACAAGCAAAAGATCTGTCTTTGGGGACAGCTGAAGAGGCGTGTGTCTCCTGGGAAAGGCTCACTCAGGAAACTAGTGACAGACAGGATTTCACTAGGTATGCTTGCTTCAGAGAGTACTACCACAGCCAGGCCTTGTCCTAGCCCACAAGGTCAAGATGCTTTTGGACTTGGAAGCTTGAACTTATGTATGGACTACAGGGCAAGAGGAACTTATGAAAGAGACTGCTAAGAACCCAGATCCCAAAGGCCTTCTCCATTCCTTCTACAGTAGTTGCTCTTGGTTCATTGGGCCCTTCCTGAACACTACCAGACACACTTTGCTGGGATATCGTCAGGCTTTTCTTCTGCACTGAGGATCTTTAGTTCTAGTGCAGTATCTGGATCATGATATGTAATTGAATATCTATGTGTAAAACTCAGGCCATTTTTGTGAACCAAGTGTCCAGAAACAACTTCCATTACTGCATTTGAAACTCACTGTCAACTTAATAATATGTAAAAGACAGCGGGACACATAGCAGGACACATAACACATTTAATTCAGGTCCTAATTCTGATTACTTTTATGAGCCCCAAATAAGTTCCTTCTCCGCAAGCCTTGGCCTACAAAACTTTTAAAAAAGAACCATATTCCCCACTTTAAGTACTGTGAAGCTATGTCAAGGGAAACTCATCATCTAAAACTGATACATTGACTTTGGAGAGTTATTTTCCAAAATCTAACAAAGTTCAGTGTGTGCCAACTTTATGACTTGGCACCGAGTCTAGTGCCATACACAAGGACTCAAGAATGCCCGCATGGCACAGAGACAAAGTGAAGGTGATCCCATATCCTAAGCAGCAGAGCAGCTTCAAGTGTGTAAGAGAGTCTACAGATAAGTGCCAGTATCTACATCTATGTAGCCAGTATTTCAACTCTCTAAAATAGAACATTGGGGAGAATAATGAAAACTGCAAAATAAGATGCATAGCAACAGTAAATCAACTGTTAAAATTAAATTTTGTTCGTATGAGATAGAATTATAATCCACCAGTTACAGTAAGTGCTTACTTGGAGGAAAGAATGAAGACTGGCACAGGGAAACAAATTCAATGTTGACTGTGAAGGTTTTTTTCTTAGAAAATGAAGGATGAAGTACTGTGTCAATATACTGCCCATCCTCCTCCTTCCTTCCTTCCTCTTCTGTGGTGATATGGGTCAAACCTAGGGCCGCATATAGTCTAGGCAAGCACTCTACCACTGAGCTATACTTTTCCATTTTGAGTTGGGGTTCAACAGGTTATTACATTGTCCATGTATAATATCTGTATTAATAGCATTTAAATAAAAAAAACAAGTGTATCACACTTTATTACCCTCAAAAGCTCCGATTCCCTTATTCTTTAACAATAATTTACCACATTTGTGATACATTACGTTGAAACACTAGTTTCAGCATCACAGTTCTAACAGGCATCTTTTCTCTTGTTTTACTCTAGCTCTGTAATATAAAAGGTGATAGGTTTGTTTGAGAACTTGCCACTATTTCTGATCTGTAAAAGGTCCAGACAGAAGTCACTTCCAAGCTGGGCCCCTCCTGCTCCTTTCCTCCTAGTCTCAACATTCCTCAAGAGGCTAAGCAGTGCAGTTTTACGGGGGTGGGGTGGGGGAGGTACTGTAACTTTTGAACAATTCAGCAGTTCTCATGCTCTTGGGTCACTGTTTGATATGTAAAAACAACTCTACTTCGTGAGTCATGGAAGGAGAAATGGCATCCTGAATGTGCACCCAGTAGAACTTTTCACAGAAATAATGCTTTAGTTGATTGCCTCTGAAGCCCACAACTTAGCTGAATTTTTAATATGCCCAGTATTACAGCCACGATTCTCAGTGATAAACAGTTTATATGGCCCGCCTGTTTACCACACTCAAGTACCTACTTGAAAAACACTAAACTCGTCAGCAAGTGGTCCTGGACTCAATCCGTAGGATGGTTTTAGTGATTAAGAAACTGTTAGCCCCAGTGACATCAGCCAAAGTCACGGGATTTAAAACAGTATCATCTGTTTTAGAACAATTGTCCAAAACACAATACTTGAAGACAAGTCTAATAGATTTTTTTTTTTAAAGCACATTGCCATAAAACCATACGGTGTTGTTAGGAAGACCAGGGAACATTTATCTGGGCTGTTTTGGGAAGCTGGAACCCACACTTGGCTGTAGACTGTCCTCTGCCTATGCTTTTCTGTCTCAATAGTTGTGTTTAAATCTATGTTATCCCCCCCCCTTTTTTTTTTAAATAAACTTGTTAAATGCTCATAAAAAAAGAAAACCTGATTTGGCTTTTGGCCTTCTTTGGATTTAAAACATTTCCTAAGAGCAGTAAGTGGCATTTTCAAAATTCTTCACAAAAAAAAAAAAAAAAAAAAAAAAAAAAAGAGTAACCAAGTACAGTGCTTTATAGGCTTAGAGCTGACCCTTACTCACATTTCTTTGAAATAAGTCAATAGCTCAGCCAGAATCCCTCCCTCCCTCTACAAGGAGGCAAACTTATATGCCTGAGAGTGATCATTTATTTGTTGCTTTTCTATGCTTGAGAAAACTTTGGTGAAATGTTATATACTGTGCACTTTTTCCCCCCCAGCAGAAAAGCTGTCCTATGCAGCCAGACTTTTGAAGAAAGGAATATTCAAGTACTTTAGTGCACTGTTCTGTCTACTAGAAGCAAAAATCTATATAGGAAAAAAAATTGATTCTTTTTAAGGACACACGGAAGAATGGCCTTTAAGAACAAATAGAAACATTTTCCTCCTATGGAAAAATGGAAAACGAGAGAGAGAGAGAGAGAGAGAGAGAGAGAGAGAGAGAGAGAGAGAGAGAGAACTAGAAACAAAGCCAAACCAACCAACCACACAAAATCCAACCAGCCCATGGAAGGAGCAGAAACTCATGAAACACATGCTCCAGAACTCTTTCTGCAACGTCTTGTTTAAAATCACTAGGGACTTCCAGGCGCTGTCTTGTCTGGACTGATAGTGCTTGTATGTGAAAAGCATGTGAGCAGTTCTCAGTAGCCAGTGTTAATAACCATAGTGCTGATGCTCAGAAGGCGAGGAAAGCCACAGAGAAAGG